GCTCTTCAGCTCAAGGCTAGCGCTCTACCACTTGAGCCACAGTGCCACTTCTGGCTTTTTTTCTTTTTGCTTATGTGGTACTGGGGAATCGAATCCAGGGCCTCATGCATGCAAGGCAAGCACTCTACCACTGAGCCACCTTCCCAGCCCCTGAGAGATTCTTATCTCTAGTTAACCAGCAAAAAGCCAGAAGTAGAAGTGTGGCTTAAGTGGTAGAGTGGTAACCTTGAGCAAAAAAGCCAAGGAGAACAAGAGACCCTGAGTTCAAGCCCCAGAGCTGACACACACAGCAACAGGCTCTGGTAGCTCATGCCTGTAATCCTAGTTACTCAGAAGACCCATTGTAACAATGAGATGTACAAGACACTGGAAAATGAACCTTACAACTTTTGGGCGGGTGGGAGAGTATTAGGGAAGAGGGGGAGGGAAGGGATGGTAGGGGAAAAACAAAGGAGGTAACAATGTTCGGTAGGAAATCATGTGTTCTCATTACTTATGTAACTGTAACCCCTCTGTACAGTATCTTTACAATAATATAATCTATGTACCTATAAACAAAGACAGATCTGATGAACACAGTTCAAAGCCAGTCTGAAAGGAAAGTCTGAGACTTATCTCCCACTAATAAATGACCAAAAACTGAAAGTGGAGCTGTGGTTCAAGTGATAGACTGGTAAACCTTGAATGAAAAAAGCTCAGGGGGCAGCACTCAGGCCCTGAGTTCAAGCCCCAGGGCAGGCACACACAGAAAAAAAAAATTTATCTACTGGCCTTTGAATTATTTGTGCTTTTCATCTTAACATTTTTTTATTCACCTAAAGCATTGAAGTTATTAAGCTGAAAAAATTCTGTATTGAACATTTTTCATAGTTTTATCTTTATTACAGATTAATCAGGGCAAGATAAACAGATCCATTGAACACTGTCCCCTTCTAAGTAATCATTTGACTTTTGTTATTTTAAGTCCTTGCTTTGTCAGTTTGGTCATAACAGTAATCTCCAAGTATGATTAAATTCTTTTTAGTTAAGTACAGAACAACTCAGTTTTCACCCAAGAAAAATCTTACATTTTAGGAGAGTAGTTACTAAATCTTCAGAAATGTCCTAGAGCAAGTACTGAAGGAAGGCAAGCATCAGTGCTCTTATCAAACTATGCTTGACCCCATTCTTGTTCTCGTAACACGTTGCGTTTGATTTTCCCGGTGATTGTCTTTGGGAGTTCTTTAACAAATTCCACCTAATTAACAGAAGAACATATGAAACCTTAGATTCCACTTTGATTTCTTCCAACTCTCAATGTTGTGAGCACCAGAAACTGTTATGTTCATATAGGAAGGACAATAGTACATGACATTCCAGTATGCTGTGTGTGTGGGGGGGGGCTGGGGTTTGGACTCAAGGTCTTAGTCTCATTCAGTTTTCTGGGTGATCTTGCACTCTTACCACTTGCGTCACACCTCTCTGTTCTATTGTGATTTTGGAGTTCACGTGGACTTTTCAGCCCAGGATGGCTTTCAGCAGAGATTGTCCAGACCCCAGCCTCCTGAGGGGGCCAGGATTACAGGTGTGAGCCAGTCATCATAATGATTTTTAGTGCAAACTCCTGCTTTGCTAGACGAGCAGAGAATAATCCCTTGGCTTCTCCCTAGGCCTCTTCTGCTCCAGAGAAATAGAGGTTAGACTTAAAATTTCAAGAAGTTCCTGGCATTGGAGGGTGTGTGTGTGTGTGTGTGTGTGTGTGTGTGTGTGTGTGTGTGTGTGTTATTCTAGGTCTTGAACTCAGGTGTGTGTGTGTGTGTGTGTGTGTGTTATTCTAGGTCTTGAACTCAGGGCCTAGGTGCTATTCCTTAGCTCAAGGCTGGTGCTTTATCCCTGGTGCCACCCCTGTACTTACAGTTTTTGCTGGTTTTGGAAATAAGATTCTCATGGACTTTCCTACCTGGGCTGGATAGAACCATGATTCTCCAATAACAGTGTCTGGAATAGCTAGGATTAGAGTCATGAGCCAATGGCACCCAGACCATTGAAGGCTCTGAGAAGATTTTAAAGATAATTTGGAGTATATACAGCTTTCTTGTACCCTGAGTTGATCATAAAATCATGTCTATTTTTCCTTTTCTCTAAATGAGTATATGTGTTTATAATGCATTCAAACTTATTTTCTGAAAAATCTAAATGTTACTCATTCAGTTTAATGGAGAAATTGTTAAAATGGTTCATATGTTAAAAAATAAATTATCACTGGGTACAGGTGGCTGAGGATCACCAATTATCTACCAATTATCTACAGTTAAATACCAAAAAGCTGGAAGTGGAGTTGTGGCTTAAGTGGTAGAGTGCTATCCTTGAGCAAAACAGCTCAAGGACAGCCCCCAGGCCCTGAGTTCAAGCCCAGGACTCTCTCTCTCTCTCTCTCTC